AAGTAAAAAACATCGTCTTATATTCGGGTCAATACGGTAATAGAATCTTGGTTTCATTTTATTAGTTTGACTTTCAACAATTATAAAAACACAATGGCACATTCGGTTTCTGTTATTTATAGTGTGGTGGCTTTCCTTGCCTGTGATCCGATTTGAAACACAGGCCCTGTCCACATGAACGCGGTTATTTTTAAAACCATAGCTTTTTCTACGCTGTTTGGCCGTTCGTCCACACGCAAACGCAGCATCAGGTCACTGAAACCAAACATTTTTGAAAACGCCTGCCAGGGTGAAGATTTTCAAAAACTCCGGTTGCAGTGTTATCGTGTAGACAGCGAAACCGGAGTTTTTGGCTTGTGACGTCGGAGCCTGCGCTGTTATCTCCGCCTACTGGAGACTTTTTCAGGCTTCTGATTGGCCAACATGGCTTTACGGTTGAGATTATATCGCCACCTGTTGGTTTGGAATGCTCTTGACAGTGGTTCATAGCATGCGTTTGCGTTTTCAAGTGGACAGAGATTTTTTTTAAAACGGAAGAAGGAAAAACTGTTTACAAAGCTAACAGTTGCCCTTTATATACATTCATATATACACATGGCCAATGTCTCAGAAGTAAGCGGGAGCAAAATATAAGAGCTCCTCCAGCTTTCAGAGCCAATGTGTGGGTGCACTTCGGTTTTAAAAAAAAGTCAGGGAGTAATGAATTAGATAAATGCCATTTGTGAGCTTTGCCAGGAGTTGGTGGTGTATTAACAAGACCTTCTCCGCTTACAGAGAGGATTAGTTAAATTAGGTGGACAAAATCCGTGCCTGGAGGGCAGGGACGTCCAAGTTATAAAACCTGATTAAGCTAGGCAGCAAAGACCAGGCGGCAGCCACACAGATATCACCAACAGAAACTCTGCTGGACCAAACCCAGGAAGAAGCCATTCCCTTAGTTCAGGGGTAGGCAATGTGTAGTTAATGCTGCTCAATGTGAAAGCACGCACGTGATGGAGATTTACCGCTGATTACAGAACCGGCTTTACTGATAAGATGCGCGTTAAATATCGCATGCGATTTATCGTGCAGCCCTATTGTTCAGGTGTGTCTGATTAGGGTTGGAGCTGAACTCTGCAGGACTGCGGCTCTCTAGGACCAAACTTGCCTACCCCTGCCTTAGTGGAATGGGCTCTTACACATAAGCCAGGGCTATAGCAACAACTATCTAGCAAGTCGCTGCTTGGTGAATGGCAGCCCTTTAGAGCCATGAGCCGCAGATGCCCAGCGATGAAGCTCCGATGCAAATGGCGTTGCTCAACTTTCATTTTATTGAAAATTAAATTTTATCGTGAATGATTTCATCACGAATAGCAAGCTGGACTTCTTGTTTCTCTCTGAGACCTGGTTGAAGGTAGGAGATTTGCCTCGGATGACTGAACTTCTGCCGCAGGGTTATTTGTACTTCAATACCCCTCGGTCAACTGGTCGAGGAAAGGGCACCTCTGTTATGCCCCTTTTTACAAGATGTACCACCCATTTAAAATGTAACTATAACGAAAATACAGTTACTCATATTTTGTATTTTAAATACGTAACGACGTTACATGTATTTCTTTACTCCTGTTTATTGGCCTGTACACAGGACATCAAAGCCTGGACGGCTGCAAACTTTTTGAAATTAAATGATAAAACCGAGGTCATAGTGCTTGGCCCTAGAAATCAGGAAGTGGCTGAATGCTTAAAAGAATGCTTAAAATCTACCGCTCTGTCTGGTTTAATTACAACTAGTGTAAATAGTGCACACGTTATGCTTTGCGCACTTTCTAAAATCCACATAGCTGGTAAGTGTGCACGTTATGCTTGGCCTAATTTTCATTTTTGGGTGAACTAACCCTTTAACTTTGTCGTCAGGACAAGTTTTTTTTTTTCATCTTTTAGCTAAAACTAAACCTTTTTTTTAATCAATTGCTGATTTTGAGAAGGCAATAATGGCGACGGTCTTCTCGTGAATAGATTACTGCAATTCTCTTTATTTTGGAATTGACAACAGAGCATTGCCGCATCTTCAAAAAGTACAGAAAGCTGCTGCCAGGATGCTCAAGTCTGCCAAGAATTTGGAGTCAGTTACACCGCTATTAAAGTCTTCCCGGCTTTGTTTCTTTGTTGAATAAAGTCTTATTTTGACATCTGGAACTCTGCTTCTCGAACTTCATTGGCCACACCAACGAAAAAATCCACAACAATGGCTGCTGGTTTGATATAGAATTAGCTATAAGATCTTGTTACTAGTTTATAATTTTGCCCCTTCCTATCTCGGGTGTGTTGGCATTGTACAATCCTGCTAGATCTTTGAGATCAGTGCCCGGTTGAATAAAGCACCTTAAGTGTAATTTCCCCTTAAGTTTGCCCTTAAGTTTCCCTTACACTTTAAGGGCGTTGCATAAAATATCCATTAAATGTTACCAAAGGGTTTCTTTAGGTGAAATGTCATAAACCCTAAGAATTTCTCTTAAAGGTGACATATCATGAAAATCTGACTTTTCCAGGTTTTAAGTGCAATAATCAGGTCTCCGGTGCATCCACCAACCAAGGAAACGTGAAAAAGATGAACCCAATCACTTTGTTTTGGGAAGCCTTTTTCTGCAAGCGTCTGAGAATACGAGCGCATCTGATTTCGATCCCTTGGTGACGTGGTTCTCATTGTAATATTACAGCCCCTTAATCTGTAAGTTTCCACCCACAGCGCCATCATTTTGATTTCGCAAGCGACAACGGTGTAGCAGCTCTAATGCCATGGTGAAAGTTTGAGCAAAACATGCTAACTGTTCTGTGTTTGGCTGCACAGACGAGCACAGAACACTGTTTAGAGTCCCAGCCTCAGAGGAGACAACAGAGCAGTGCATTTATTGATTTATTTACTGTATATTGTTGCTGCCACACAGATCTAAAATAAACTAAATAAATAAATAAAAAGATTTATTTCCCAGCTGTTTACCTTCACAGACATAACCGACTGTTTTTGTAACTCATGTGTGTTTTTAATGTAAACTTGTGTGTGAATGACAACTTAGTTTAGTACTCACATGCTGTG